GTGGGTGTGTGTGTGTGTGTGTGTGTGTGTGTGTGTGTGTGTGTGTGTGTGTGTGTGTGTGTACTGTCCCTTTAAATCAGTCAATTTTCCAGTTCCTCTTCCATTAGTTTTGACCAACAAAAAAAAATGACAACACAAAGTGAGGAGACGCAATCAAAACGTTTGGAAATTACATTCTAAAACTTTGACTGACTTTTTTGTGATTTATGCTAGCAATGTTATATTTAGCATATCGAGCCCAAGACAACTCACCTCTGCTGTCAGCGGGAGGGATTAAGGGAGACGTGCGCCGCCTCAAAAAACAAGTCCAAACCGTCCGAATAGGGCCTCAAAGTGACAAACCGAATCATGGAACCCTTAAAAGTAGATTACGTTAAAGAAGAGCTTCAGACATTTTCAAGGTACAACGAACTCCCTCCTGAGAAAATTCATGAGAAAACTCCCAACATAGGTCCAGTGCGAGAATCCACAAAATGCGAGGAAAAGTCCCAGTTGGACTTTTCTTATTTTTTTGTGGTCAGGGTAAATTCCAACCGTCGTAGTCTTGAACCCACGCGACGATATGTCCTGTTTGAAAATGTGAAAGATTCTTGAAGTGTGTGAAAAACGTGGAATGTGTAGGGAGTCAGCCGCGACTCACAACTTTGTTCCTGGTGGTGTTTTTTTTACCGCTTCTGTGGACAGTGGTTGTCAAGTTACATTGTGAGGAATGGAGAAAAGCGCAAATGCTAATCGCTTTTCAAAATAAGATATTTTATGTTGCTTGATGGGTGGGGTAAAAGTTTGGAGACACGCTTCAGTTTCATATTTTATTTCATTTAATACCTACTGTCTTGTTTTCCAATCCTGACTTTTAAATCCAAACAATAACTATTCACAGTGTGGAGTCGATACAGTTCAAGCCTCACAATGTTCCTTTTATGTTGAAATGTATAAAGAGGAGACGTATTTCTCAACAATGGGCGCTTTGATGCTCCATCCTCAGACCCCCCCCCCCCTCCCCACTTTGCTCAAGAAGTTTCCCGACGCCACGATGGAAACATGGCGCGATGGATGTCACGTGAACTAACACTAACCAATCCATTCATTTTAATTATTATTTTTTAAATAACCTAATTAATGTTGAGTGCAATTGATTTCGTCTTAAACAGAAAACACATCCAATGTGAGAATAAGCTTTATTAATATAGCAATTATGCAATGAAGACAATTCAAACAATAACCAATATTGGATAACCTGTACAGTGTACAACATATAATACAGTGTACACTAAACAATAACAAGTAGAAACCATTTATGACTTTAATGCTTTTTGGGGAGGTGTGTGTGTGTGTGGGGGGGGGGGGGGGGTTTATTGCTTTACACGCATGTTCAGCACGACACAAGCACATAGTGGGAGAT